AAAAACAAAGGCTGGGAATACAGCTCAGTGTGAAGGGTCTCGGTTCAATCTCCCCAGCACCAGTACCAGTACCACTACCACTACCACCACCACCGCCATCGCCGCCGCCGCCGCCACCGCCCAACCCCCCAACACCCACACACTAATGTCTCCTGCAAGAAAAAAGAAAAGGCAGAAACTAAACACAAAGGAAGTGGAAGGAAGGAACTAATTAAAAACTAATGTAGAAAAAGTGAAAAAAAATCCAAAAAATTAAAAGAGAAAAATGGAGTAAAAAGTACAGAAGCAAAGTCTATTTCTTTGAAAATAATTAGCTCATCTCTCCAAAAACAGCAGCAAGAAATTTTAAGTTACTAAAATTGGGAATAAAACAAAGGGTATTACTACCATTCTTACTGATATAAAAAGGATTATACAGGAATATTATGTTCATTATATGCCAACAAATAGATAATCTAGCTAAATAGACAACTTTCACTTAAAACACTTATTACAAAAACTGCCTCATGACACATTAAAAACAGCAGAGTAAAATTAGAGGCAAAATATTGCCTCTCTAGAACCTAAACTTGAGACATTTGGAAAAAAACAACCTCATGAGGAAAAAAGAATCAAAAGAGCCAACAGGGCCAGGGATTTAGACCAGTGGTTCCACTGCCAGCCTCATAAGCTCAAGGTCCCAAGTTTGATACCATGTACCAAAAGAAAAGCGGAATTGTTTTAAAAAGAGCCAACAGAAAAACTGAAAACTACATAGAAACTAGAGAAACTGAAGACAATGCAGAGAAAAAAAATGCAGCTGTCTGGAACCTCCAGCTTCTGGGGAAGGTGACTTGTCTCTTAACACAAGAGAGTTGGCAGCCCCATTAAGAAACTGTGGACTGGTCTGAGAGTGTGAACCCAAGAAAATCCCATAATTATTTTAAACTGCAAACACAGCATTGAGTTTTTCTCTGAAAGTAACTCCTTCCACATGGCAGGTTAGAGAGGGACAAGTAATCCAGTGTAGCAACCACCATATTTGAGTGTTTAATCAGGAGTCATTTTGGGAAGGGTTTGTTAACACGTTCAAGATAGGGCCATAATTCCTGTCTACCACCAGTGGTATAAGTGTGACTATCCCATTAAGTGACTTTTTATTAATTTTACTAATAAAAAGATTGGTAACAGTGATTAGACCCATTTGTACCACCAATGGTACAAGCCATCCAATGGGACTGTCATGCACGCACCACCAGTGGTTCAAGGCAGCAGGAATGTGTTAAGATTGAGTGACTCTGGGAATCAGAAGCAACAAAACGAATATACTTCAGGACTAAGTCAATATTTTCTAATAATAACTCCCAATGTCAAATAGTCTCAAGTCCCCAATCAAAAGATACAGACTGGACAACTGGATCAAAAAATGAAACCCAATGGTACACTACATATGAGGCACATGTAAACCAGACATGAGGGCATACACCTGTAATCCCAACACTCAGGAGGCTGAGGTAGGAGGATTGCTGGGAGTTCAAGGCCAGTCTGGGTTACATAGTGAGTTCAAGCCCATCCTGCACTACAAAGCAAGGCAAGACCCTGTCTCAAAACTTAAAAGAAAGGGTAAGAGGTCACTGTGAGATGTGTCAAAGCCTGGACATCTGAGGACACAATCCAGTCATTTGGTGCAAGCACACAGGGGGCTTCATTATGAATCAGATAACCACAAATGTGCCACACAACCTGCAAGTTGCCCAGAATGTTTTGTCTTACTGTGTCTAAGCTGATAAAAACTACTGCAAATGCTTTGCAAGAAAATAAAGCTTGATTCTTGCTTTTTGTAATGTCTGCTCCATGTGTGTTCTTTTCTTCAGGAACCTTGCCTGACCCAGCCTCCCTTCAGCCCACCAACCTGGACAAAAAGAAAAATAGAGAGAGACATATAATCCAAAAATAAATGCATACAATCAAAATTAAAGGATGGAACCCTAAAAGCAAGCAAGAGTAGCTATCTTATTTTCAGATAAGGTGGACTTTAAGCTAAAACTGATCAAAAGAGACAAAAATCACTACACAGATAATCCCCACTTAACCAACCTGTTTAATGATGCTGCTTGGGCTTTTGACCATTTTTTGGCATAGCTCTGTACAACTTGTTCATAGAGTCTCAATATCTTTTTTGGTACAGTACACTTTGTTTTTTTGTTGTTTGTTTGTTTTTTGGTACTGGGGATCAAACTCAGGACCTTGCACTTGCAAGGCAGGTGGTGGAACCACTGAGCTAAATCACTGGCCCTAGTACATCTTGTTTATACAGTACAGTAATTTTTACTGATTGTACTGTACAGCACTGTAGGGACATGGGGTACTGTAGGTAGGGAAAAGAAAGAATGAAGGCCTCAATGAACTTTATTAAAAATGAATAAGGCAGTTTTGACTTCTGCAGTAGTAATCCTGGATTTAGACTTAAATCCAAACCTAGGAAATCATAAAGATCAGAGCAGAAATTAGCAAAATCAAGACTAAAAAGCAATACCAAAAAAAATTAACTACTTCTGCAACCAGACTATAGCAATTAAAAGGGCAAAGGCAGCAAGATTCTGCGGAACTAAAAAGACAAAGGGCAGCTAAACTCAAGCAATTAGGAAGACAAAGAATTACAGCAATAAACGGTGCTCGGAAAACAGATTATCTCCATATAAAGAAGATTGAATCTAGACCTATGTTATGGTTTGGGTCTAGCTGTCCCCCAAAGCCTCATGTGACCACATGAGGCTTGATCTAGAGTGTGTAAAGCTAGAATTGATTCAGAATGCAATGCTAGGTCAAGGGCGCTAGGATTAAGGGGGTGAGTGCTACCTGCCTTGTGTGGTCTGAATAAGATAAAAGGGGCAAGGAGATGCTATTAACTCTATTATTACCTTTGCTGTCTTGTGTGTGCACCATGTTGTTTCTGTTCTGCAACACTAGTTTGCCATCCCAGCCTTAGAGCCAGCTGATTATGGACTGAATCCTCTATGAACTGCAGGCCAAATAAACCCCTTCCCCTCTAACTTTGGGTGTCAGGTATTTTGTCTCAGAAAAGAGAGAAAAGTAACTAGCACATCCTATATCACCACATACCAAAATAAAAGTAGAATGATTCAAAGATGTAAATATTAAAACAAAAACAATCTACCATAAGATAAAACAGGTAAAACTCTTGAAGACTTGGGTATAGACAAGTACTTTCTGAACACAACCCCAGTAGTACAAGAAATAACATCAAGCATCAGCAAATGGGATTATATCAAATTCAAACTCTGCACAGTAAAGGAAACAACCACTAAGGTAAAGAGACAACATACAGAATAAGAAAAAAAAAACTTGCTAGCTACTCAATGTACAGAGGACTAATATTTAGAATATATAAAGAACTTTAAAAAAAATCAAATTCCTCAAATAAAAGACCTAATAAAAAAGTGGCCAACTGCCAGGGATTTGGCTCAGTGGTTCCTCTGCCTGCCTCACAAGTGTAAGGGCCAGAGTTCAATTCTCGATACAAAAACAAAAAAACTTCCAAAAAAATGGGCAACTGAGCCAGATGTGGTGGCACATACCTGTAATCTCAACACTCTGGAGGATGAGGTAAAACATGAATTCAAGGCCAGCTTGGGCTATTTAGTCAGTTCAAGGCAAGCCTGGAATACACAGCAAAACCCTGTCTCAAAAAAAAAAAAAAAAAAAAAAAAAGAGCTGTAGATTTAGCTCAGTGGTGTCTCTACCTGCCTCGCAAGGGCCAGGTCCCAAGTCCAATCCCTGATACCAAAAAAAAAAGAAAGAAAGAAAAAAAATAAAAGTAAATTTTTAAAATATGGCAACTGAAATGAATAGACACCTCTAAGAAATACAAATGACCAATAAATACATGAAAAAATGTTCAGCATCACTGGTCACTTAAGAAATGCAAATTAAAACAACACTGAAATTTCATCTTACTCATGAAGGAATCAAATAACAAAAAATGATGGTGAGGCTTTGAAATCTATAGTACAAGTAATTTAGAGACAGAAAATAAATTTAAGTTCTTGTGGTCTATGAAACAAATACTTCCTTTATACCAACTTGTAATAATTAATGAAGCATATTCCTGGATATCAGATGGATATGGTTTTAAATCAAAAGATGATATTAGGGAATAAAATAGGCTTGTACTTTCATTACTATTTTGTAGAAAATATATTTTCTATATTATTTTGGTCTCTAAATTATTTGTACTTTAGGTTGCAACAAATTCAAGCCCAACCTGGGCTACATACTGAGTATAAGGCCAGGCTGAACTATATAGTGAGACCTTGTCTTAAAAAATCAAAAGTAAAAGCAATATAAACACAAAAATAGTGGATGCAATTAATCAAGTAGAGAAGAAATTGAGAGGGATCAATTTTGAGGCAGAAAGCAAAATTATCTGCTAAGGCAGGTAGCAAGCTATAGAAACAGGTTAGCAGGATTTAAGGAGTAGCTCAGTGAATAATTAGAAATTATTCTAAAGTGATGAGTAAATGAATTAATAGGTAATTCAGAGAAGAAAGGTGAGTTTGGAGATAATGATTTTAGAATACTATCACCCTAGGAAAAGTTGGTGGCATGGCTCAGTCCATGTCTGAGGCCTCAGAACCAGCATGTAACTCCCAATCTGAGTTGACAGGCCTGAAAATATGGCCAAAGAACCTGTTCTGATAGGTAAGGGAAAAAAAAATGGAGTCCTAGTTCTAGGACAAAGAACAAATGTGCCTTTCCTCTACCTTTTTCTTGTATTTAAGCTGACTATATAGACCCACATTGGTAAGGGCAGATCTCCCTTATTAGCCCATTTACTGAAATCTCTTCAATGGACAGCCTCACAAATGTATATAGCAATAATGCTTTACCAATTATCCAAGTTAGCCTTTAATCTGATCAAATTGCCAGAAAGACATAGCAAGGTATTTTCCATAAGCTAGCTGTAAGGAGGACATTTAATACTACTTATTTCTACATACCTGATAAATGTCTGAGACTCTTTGAAACAGTGTCAGGAGAGAACCGTAACATTCTGAGATTTGAAGAACGATGTTCTGACTCTCTAGTTGGTTCATAAGAAATAAATGGAGGCAGTATAGATGAAAAAGACTGATTAATGCCCAGATTAGAATGACCTACCTATGGAAAGAGAAAAGAAATAAAGAAAATATGATTATATTAATTGCATACTTCAACTGCTAACAAAATCAAACATTATTTTTTTTTTTTATTGAGTTTATTGGTACATTTAGGGATACAGTACAGTTACATTCATTGTTGGGATCATGTACCTTTACATGGCAAGTCTTGATTCTCATTTTTTCCCCTTACCTCTGCCCTCCCTTCACCCCCTCCTCCCCTCCCCATCTACAAACACTTTATTTTCATCTTTTCATTCTCTCACATTTTTTTCTTTTCCCTTTTTGTTCTTCCCCTACGTATCACACCTTCCCTACACCTTTAGCTCCTTTCCTCCCATTTCTAAATGTCAGTAATCTTATTAGAATCTTATGCATTGTTGCAGAATATTCACACCAGGGAAACTATTTGGTATTTACACATGTGGGACTTATTTATTTCACTTAGGAGTATATCTTCAATATGTATCCATTTTCCTATGAATGAATCTATTCTCTCGCTCTTTATGGCTGAGTAATATTCCATTTTATAGAAAAACCACAACTTCTTTATCCAGTTTCCAACGGATGGGCAAATAGGTTGTTTCCAAGATTTAGCTATTACAAACTGTGCCGCTATAAACATGGGTGCACATACTTCTCTGTGATATGATTCTTTTAGTTCTCTTGGAAAGATACCCAACAGAGGGATGGCTGGGTCAAATGGAACCTCCAGTCCAAGCTCTTTGAGGTATCTCCATATTGATTTCCATAGTGGTTGCACTAGTCTGCACTCCCACCAACAATGGAGGAGGGTTCCTTTCTCCCCACAACCCCGCCAACATTTGTTATTGTGTGATTTCTTGATAGCAGCCATTCTTTGTGGGGTGAGGTGGAATCTCAGTGTTGTTTTCATCTGCATCTCTCGAATGACCAGTGATGTGGAACATTTTTTCATATATTTTCTTGCTGCTTTCACTTCTTTGTATGAGAAATGTCTGTTCATTTCGGATGCCCATTTTTGGATCGGGTCTTTATATTTGGGGGGACTGATTGTTTTGAGTTCTTTATATATCCTTGATAATAGTCCTTTGTCTGAGGTACAGCTGGTAAAAATTTTTTCCCACATTGTAGATTGTCTCTTAGTTCTGCTAATGGTTTCTTTTGAAGTACAGAAGCTTTTTAGTAAGATGAGATCCCAGTTGTTGATTCTTTCTGCTAGTTCCCGTGCTACTGAGGATTTGTTCATAAAGTCTTTTCCTATACCAATGTCTTCCAGAGTTCTGCCTAACTTACTTTCCAGCAAGTTTAATGTTTCTGTTTTAATATTTAGATCTTTAATCCATTTGGATTTTAATTTAGTGCATGGCGAAAGATAAGGGTCTAATTTTAATCTGTGACAGGTTGATATCCAGTTTTTCCAACACCATTTATTAAAGAGGCTATCTTTCCTCCACTGAGGATGGTGAGCTCCTTTGTCGAAGATGAGGTAGCTGAGTACATCTGCATTTGTTTTTGTGTCTTCCAGTCTGTTCCATTGATCCTCAGGCCTATTTCTTTGCCAGTACCATGCTGATTTTATCACAGTGGCTTTGTAGTATAGTTTCAAATTGGGAATTGTTACACCTGGTGCCATGTGACTGTTGCCTATAATGGCTTTTGCTATTCTAGGTCTCTTGTGGTTCCAAATGAATTTTTGGATTCTTTTTTCTAGTTCTGTGAAATATAGTGTTGGAATTTCAATTGGCATTGCATTGAATGTATATAGCAGTTTCGGTAGTATGGCCATTTTCACTATGTTGATTCTTCCTACCCAGGAGCAGGGGATATCTTTCCATTTTTTTATATCCTCTTCGATTTCTTTTTTCAGAGTGCTGTAGTTTTCAGTGTAGAGATCTTTTGTTTCTTTTGTTAGATTGATTCCTAGATACTTCATTTTTTTGGATGCTATTGTAAAAGGAATTTTTTCCCTTATTTCTCTTTCTGTCTGTCTGTTATTTGTGTATAGAAAGGCTATTGATTTTTGGGTATTCACCTTGTATCCAGATACTTTACTGAATCTGTCAATTAAGTCTAGAAGTTTTTTGGTGGAGTTTTTTGGATCTTCAATGTAGAGTATCATATCATCAGCAAATAATGATAGTTTAACTTCTTCCTTTCCTATCTTTATTGCTTTAATTTCTTTCTCTTGTCTAATTGCTGTGGCTAATGTTTCCAGAACTATATTGAAGAGAAGTGGCGATAGTGGGCATCCTTGTCTTGTTCCTGATTTTAACATGAAGGTTTTCAGTTTTTGGCCATTCAATATGATGTTGGCTGATGGTTTTTCATAAATAGCCTTTATTAAATTGAGGTATAGACCATCTATTCCAATTTTTTGCAGGGTTTTTATCATGAATGGGTGTTGAATTTTATCAAATGCTTTTTCTGCATCTATTGAGAGGATCATATGGTTTTTGTCCTTGACTTTGTTAATATAATGTATTACATTCACTGACTTTCGTATGTTGAACCACCCTTGCATCTCTGGAATAAATCCGACTTGGTCATGATGGATGATCTTCTTAATAATCCTCTGTATTCTGTTTGCTAGTATCTTATTAAGGATTTTTGCATCTATATTCATTAAGGAGATTGGTCTGTAGTTCTCCTTTTTGGTTGTATCTTTCTCTGGTTTGGGAATCAGAGTGATACTTGCTTCCAGGAATGAATTTGGAAGTATAGCTTCTCTTTCAATTTCATTGAAAAGTTTGAAGAGTAATGGTAGTAGTTCTTCTCTAAATGTCTTGTAAAATTCAGCAGTGAATCCATCAGGGCCTGGGCTTTTCTTTGTTGGTAAGTTTTTAATTACATTTTCAATTTCACTGATTGTGATTGGGGTGTTTAAAATGTTTTTATCTTCTTCGTTCAACTTTGGTAATTCATAAGTATCTAGAAATCTGTCCATTTCTTCTGTGTTTTCCATTTTATTAGAGTACAGGTTCTCAAAGTAGGTGTTCATGATCCTCTGGATTTCTTTCGGATCTGTTGTGACTTCGCCTTTTTCATTCCTAATTGCATGGATCTGAGCCTTTTCTTTCCTTTTTTTGATAAGATTAGCTAAGGGTTTGTCAATTTTATTTATTCTTTCAAAAAACCAGCTCTTTGTTTCATTTATTTTTTGTATCGTTTTCTTAATTTCAATTGCATTGATTTCTGCTCGGATCTTTATAATTTCCTCTCTTGTTCGAGCTTTGGGTTTTTCTTGCTCTTGTTTTTCTAGGAGTCTAAGTTTCATCGTTAAGTTGTTTATTTGAGCCCGCTCTGTTTTCCTAGTGTGGGCATTCAATGTTATGAATTTTCCACGTAGAACTGCTTTCATTGTGTCCCAAAGATTCCTGTATGTTGTATTGGCATTCTCATTTATTTGTAAAAACTGTCTAATTTCTTCTTTAATTTCCTCTGTAATCCATTGATTGTTTAGGAGAGTGTTGTTCAGTTTCCATGTGCTTGTGAAGTTTCTATAGTTTCTTGTGCTATTGATGTCTAGTTTGATTGCACTATGATCTGATAATAAACAGGGGATGACTTCAATTTTTTTGCATTTATTTAGACCTGTTTTGTGAGCCAGTATGTGGTCTATTTTGGAGAATGATCCATGTGCAGCCGAAAAGAATGTATATTCTGGTTTTTGGGGGTGGAATACTCTATAAACATCTATTAAATCCATGTGTTCCAAAGCTTGGTTCAGTTCTATTATTTCATTGTTGAAAATCAAACATTATTATAAAAATGAACACTAAATAGTTACTAAAAGTTTCTTGATATTATCACCTCCCAAATTCATATACAGGTCATATCATGTTTGGTCAACTCTTAAGAAGATTCTACAAATCATTCATGGGTTTATAAATCCGCCTTATAAAACATTCTATAATAGGCCTAGAAATTTTCTGTTACCTAGTTTGTTCCTTATATTAATAATATTTGAAGGATGTTAACCATAGTTTTATTCTGGATGACCTCAAGAGCTTTCTTAAGGAAAAAGTGTGTTGTGGGGAAGAAAAATTACAAAGTAAAGACAGAGCAGGAATATTTTTAGACACAAATAGAAGAAAAATACAAGTATCAAAGAACTATAACAATGACAAGTACCAAAATTCTTAAGTTCTTGAACTTTTTGAAACAAAAGTGATAGGAGGCAGGGTGTGGTGGTGCGTGACTGTATTCCTAGTACTCAGGAGGCTGGGAAGAAGACTGCCATGAGTTCAAAGCCAGCCTGTAATAAATAGTGAGACCCTGTCTTAAAAAAAAAAAAGCAGGGAGTGGAGTAAGGAATATAACTTCTGAAAAAAAGTTCCTAAAGTTCCATCAGAATCCAATAAGTGTGTGATAGAAGCCATTATTCATGACATAAATCATAAATATGCTCTAACTTTTCCCCACATTTACAGTATATTCACATAAAAACAGTATACCACTTTAGTCCAGCTATGCTGTTACAGGAAGGATTTTAAATTGTTCACTTTAAAAAAGCAAAACAAAACTGTTCTCTGTTCTGTTCTCTGTTTTCAATTCTCAGGAAGTTTTGGGGTATAGAAATGAAAGAACATAGTATTTTATTATATGCTGCTACCAAGATCAAGGAGAAACCTGTTGCACCTCTCCTTAAAGATGCTTCATGTTAAAGGGTACAGAAGCTTCAAAAGATGACCTTGCGAAAGCACCAACAGAACTCACTAAATCTTATGGTCTTGTGGTCTATGAAACAAAAAAGGAAAATTCTTTCCTTTATAACAACTTATAACAATTAATGAAGCACATTCCTAGATATCAGATGAAGATATGGTTTTAAATCAAAAGGCGATATTAGGGAATAAAATGGGCTTTTACTTTCATTACTATTTTGTAACAAATATTCCTTTCCCTACCCATAAGAAATGGCAAACAGATAAACTTACAAGCCTTTCAAAATTGCTCTCTTCCTCAGATGATTCTTGCAAAGTGGGTTGCCAGTGCTGGGAACTGTCACAAAGATCATCAAGCAAATCTTCTAAAGTTGCTAAGTCCACACACTCACCAGTCACATCATGTTGATCACATGTCTGGGCAATAAAAAAAAAAAACAAAAAACAAGTAAAAACAATACGTTATGATAATGTACCAACTCCCCAAAAGGAATGTGATCATTATGTACTGCAAATATGTAATGATAAAAAATTAAAATTAAAAAAAAAACAAAAAACACTATTTCCTGAAACAATACTGGAAAAGGTCACATTTCCCACAACCATTACTTTCTTATATCTCACCTCTCTCTGTAGTTCAGCAACTCTTTCACTGCGCACAACAGCTTTTTCATCTAGGCTACAGCACTCAGTATCATCGTCCAGAGTAATGACATCAGACTCAGCCTTCCCCTGCAGGCCCTCTACAAAACAGGAGTCATTTTGCAAAACTGTATGTATAGTAAAACTGGACTCAGCTTCCATAGACCAAAGAATTTCACCTTGGCCTCTGTCAGCTTTCAGCAAGGTCTCTTGGCCAACTGTAATTAATGATGCGTCACCAGTCAGTGGTAAAGTATCTTCTGGCTTTGCATCACATGCCACAAAGTTTGCTGAAAAGCTGCTTCCTACAGCTTCAGGTGAGCCTTGAATGGCATCACTAGAATTTATGTCTTTACCCAAATTACAGTCTGAGGAATCTGCAACTTCTTCAAAGGTTTGCTGCTTTAAATCTTGTGAAACCAAAGAATCTGAAGCTGATAGTTTCATTGAGTAAATAATGTTTGAAGAGCCTACCTTCTCTGCAAGGTCAATAGTAGAAATAGACTTTATCTTCCCAACAGGAAGAATTGGTTCATTGTATAACTCACATTGAAATAAAGCTGACTGTGTTTTGACAACAGCCTGACTCATATAAGGTTTTTCACATAAAGAAGCAGATGACTTATGCTCTGGAATCACAGAAAGTGGTTTAATGAGCATTTTCTGAGGTGCATTAGGGGGTGATTTTAAGTTTGGATAGCAAAATAAGAAACTAGCATCATAATCTTCAACATGCAACAAAGGTTCTGAAGCTGCTGGTTCAAACACCCCAGGAGCAGACTGATAGTTTGGATGCTTAAGCTTATCAAAGAATGAGCTTTCATCATTATAACAATTTAATGGGGAAAGATCTGGATTTTCTGGTTCTCTCTCATGATTTTCATCTTTTAAAGATTTACTGATGTCAGTTTGGATTTCACTTACTGTACTCTCTTTCTTGGAAGGCTCAATAGAAGCAATAACTGCCTCAAAGGCTACATTTTCAGTAGCATCAACATTTTCCTCACCAAAAATAGAAGAAGTTTTTTGGTTTCTTCCCTCTTGAAAACACAGTTGTTTTGATGTCTCATTCAAATTGGACTTAGCTGTCTGAAGAGTACCACCAGAAGACTCCATCTTAGATAGATCATGTCCCCTGGAGAGCATAAGTACTTCTGAAACTTTTACAGAATTATCAGGAACTATAAAGTTCCTAATACAAGTTCTAAGTACCTCTGAAGGTATCAAATTATTTTTAGTCTCCTTTTGTTTAAAACGTTGGCATAATTCTTGTTGTAGACCTTCATTTCTTTCATAACCCTTCAAAGAATCTGTGTTTTGCTTCAACTCATCCTCAGCTTGTACCCTTAAATAATCACTCTCAAAATAATGACTATCAGAGGTCAAGGGAACTCCCTTTCCTCTTCTTTCCAACAAACACTGCAAGAAAGAACATGACATTTTATTATGATGAGGAGCAGCATCATGTGGAAAATAAACTGGGTCTTTATTCGTTAGACATGCTTCTGCTCGCTGTAAAGCCTCTGGTTCCCAACACTGCAAATTTGAGGAAGAAGCAACAAAACTGTCACTTCTTTTAGTAACTCCATTTTCATCACTAATATCAGATAAAGTTGAAACTGAAACTTGATCTTTATCAGCCAAAATGTTTTCTGGCTGCTGTGTATCTTTTTGTGTTTTCCATGACATATGTGAATAAAGAGCATCATAATTATAATAGTCTTTGGGGGTTTTCAGTTCATCGACAGTATCAGATAAAACATTGTCTTCATTTTTCTCTTGTTCAGAAGATAAAAAAGAGCGCAGAGCCCCAGCAGTTGGGTTACCTGTAAGTGAGTGCTGGGATATACTAAAGCAACTGCTAACGAAGTCTGAAGGTACTTCTAAGGTAGCCTGGAATAAAGCTTCACTAACTTCCGATGGTCGAGAAAACCATTCACTGTCTTCAGACTTATCAGGAATTCCTCTGAAAAATACACAATTATACATAAATAACACCTTAACAACATTTAACTTTTAAATATAAACATGAAAACACAAAAGTGGTACTTCACTAAAATCAAGTTTATTTGAAAGTGTTAAAAAAAAAGTTCTAATTTCAAATTCCTTTAAGGTGGCTGATTGATCAAAGCAAATTTTCTGTAGCCAGAAGGTAAACCAACTCAATCACCACTGGGCCTGATATTATCTCAGACTTCTCCTAAAACAACAGAATCTGATTTTCATATAATCACGAAAGGTTTTTAAATGATAAATTCAAAATAGTTTTTTAAGCTTTACTAAATGTTTATCATCTCCTATGAGTTAGTATTCATTTAACTCACATTAATTATTTACTGCCCATTTATTATGCTTCTAAAAATCACTCAAGAAGTGATTACTCCTAAAAGTACCTGTATTTAATACAATAGTAACTTAATCATTGGCTGACAATCTAGTTTGTGCAGAGCGCCTTTCATAAAAGTGATTATAAAGAAATAAAAAACATAAAAGCAGGGGTTATTTTACTTCCAATAAAGCTATAGTTTCTAATTTAAGATATATTTTTGCTTCACTTCTAAAAGAAAAAAATGTATATTCTTGGATAATTTCAAATATGTTCCAGAGAATTCGACTTTTCTCTTATTATGATTATTCTAAAGGACATCAATTTGGAATTTCTATTATAGCCATCCTATAGCCAGGGATGCAGCTAGGCAGCCCAGCGCCTCCTGCCTAGCAAACATGAGGCCCTGAGTTTGATTCCTGGTACCAAAAAAAAAAAAAACTCTTGTTACTTCATATTCACATATATAACAAGGTAAAAAGAGAGCTCTAGACTTGACTTAATAATACCTGACCAAAACAAGAGTGTAGAACAAGTAAGTAATCTAAACATAATTTTTCCCCCACAGAGAGGGGGAAAAAAGGGATAACTGAAATACATGGAGAACATAATATAATAAGAAAAAAATCTTGTGTGCCTTATAATTAAAATATGCTTGAAATGCTATAATACATTGGAAACTATTTTTAAATAAACTATAGTCTTCTAATACATCTTTTTATATACATTAGTATACCAAATTAGCATGCATCGTTTAGGGTCTTGTTACTTTCAGAGTTTGTGCTAAAGATATCTAACCCCTATTCCAAAGCCCCATCTTCACATCAAGTCATTACTATTAATAACAACATATAACAACAAAGATGGGCCAGGGATTTAGCTCAGTAGTTCTGCCACCTGCTTAGCAAACGCAGGGTCCCAAGTTTGATCCCTGGCACCAAAAAAATTAAAAAGTAAAAAAAATATATACATAACAACAAAGAGTAGAAAGGTTAGAAGCAAATAAATCATCCTACCTCAGAGGTGCAAAATCTAGTTCACTTTGTTGAAACAAGGAATCAGGCCCAAATTCCTGGTCTTGTGTCAAACATGTCAGCAAAGGCAAATCAGGAGAAGCAAAGCTATCCTGTATGACTGTAAAGTTTCAAATATAAAAATGCTGAGCAATCTGAAAATGGACTGTTTAGCTTACTCCTGTCAACACTTTATGTAAATATGCTACAATCTGGAAGTTTCTATAAGCATTAGAATAATAATATAACAACAGCACCTGCCATTTATTGAGCCTGACAAGGTCCAGATATTTAAACAGTATTTCATTTCACTTAATCCTCAATGACAACCTTGAAGGACAGATACTATTACACCTACTTGATAGATGAGGAAACATGATTACAAAAGTTAAGCATTAATTAATGTGTCTACATTCAAATAGCTTAAGTGTCAGAGGGAGATCTAAACAAAAACATTCTAACTTTTTATTTAGCAGCTGCTAAACTATTTAAATGTTTAACTGTTACTACTATTTCTTTAAATCTTAAGAAATATAAAGACCAGCATACTTTATATCAAAGTGTGAATCAGAGATTCCTGGGCCCTAAGATACTCTTAGGGAGTATCAACAGTAAAAATTGTATTCAAAATAATATTAAAATTTCATTTGCTTTATTCACTCTCGTTCTCTTAAAAGAAAACAATGAGATTCAGGAAGAGAGGCTACATCAGATATGATACAGCAACAGACAGATGACAGAAGCAGATGAGAATCCTGCTATATTCTAAGTTAGATATTAGAATTATTACTAAGTAAAACAAGGCCACTTCTAAGTATCTTTCTTTTAGACTTATTCTTCCAGAAAGTATGTACTTTATGTTAATATGCAAAGGGATAGTTGTTATTAAGTGAATTAATTTTGTTAATTTCTTGGTTTTAAGTTAAACTATGGGAAATATCAATAACCTATATTAACAAACTCTCTGGAGTTGTAATTTTTTGTTGTCAATGATGTGAAAAGGATGTCTGTTACCCAAAAAGTTTGAGAACTACTGCTTTAAAGAAAAAAATTCTTGAGATTTCCTGTCAGCTTATAATGTCTGTACATATACACAAACGAGGGCCTGAGAGTACAGCTCAGAGGTAGTGCACTTGCACTCATTCCTTGCAGCATTTGTGCAAATACAAAACAAAAACTTAAATGTTTTGGTTCCAGGGATTGAACTCAGGTCCTTGTGCTTGCGAGGAAGGCACCAAAATCACTGAGCTAAATCCCCAGCAAAAACTGAAATGTTAATGAGAACAAACTTTTATCTCAAAATCTACCACATTCTTTTTAAATTAATTTAAGGAGTGATGTTTTACTTGCGAGGCAAACACGGCAGATTTTTTCAGTATGAATGTAACACTGCCTGCTATAGTATACTTTCTTAATTTCTGAATGCCTACAACTGTGTGCACAAAGTGCAAACTCCACCTTCTGAGCACTATTCTCCCTGAAATTACTGTTAACCAAAGGTTCACAGAGCCCACCAGTGTCTTCACTTGCTGTACTTTCACTCTCCCACTATTCTCAGACCCATCATGATTCCTCACACTCTTGTTTTAATCTTTAGTCTGATTCCCATTAAAATTGTCAACCCTACATCTGCTTTATTCAGTTATATCTTCAATGCCAAATAGACTATCTGCTATACTTAGTAGAACTCCAACAGTCACGTGCTAAATTAGTCAAGCTTGAGAAATTGATAATAATAACTTTAATCATCCAGGAACAACTGACATGGTTCCTCTTTGGCCTTGCTTAAAAAAAAAATCTGTCTTAAACCTTCAAAATAGACATTCTTTACTCTTAGAAGAATCATTCGGTTTTTTAATATACATAGTCATCAAGTACTATATTTTCAATTTGATATAGTATATACTAATATTACACAGAAAAATCTTGGACAACTAAAGCAAATTTACTGTTTCAAATTAACTATATGCTGAGCATTTAATGAACCTGAGTCTTTTCTTTTAAAAACTAAAAGTATAAAAACAGCTGGATATAGTGGCACATACCTGTAATCACAGCACTTGGGAGGCTGAGGCAGGAAGATTGCAACATGTTCCATGCAAGCCTGGGCTAAATAGTGAGTTCAAAGCCAGCCTGAACTACAGAGGTACCTTGGTCCAAAAACTTAATTTTTTCCATAATTCTGGTCGCAAACCAAACTGGATGGGAACGAAATCAAATTTCCCCATAAAGTCAACATTGAACCTAACCATTGAATCAGCCGTCATCCAATTTGGCTTGTAACTAGAATCACAGAAAGAATTAAGTTTGTGAACCAAGACACCACAGTACATAGAAGATATTCTATCTCAAAAAAAAAAAAAAATCGAGTTATCTCTAACCAGGTTCCAGAACCTACAAGAATCTTTATTATCTTAAATAGCTATTTAAGTATAACTAAGAAATAATAAGAAATAAAGAAATAAGTGATAAGCTTTAAAATCTCCTTGTTATAAAGTATGTAAGAATATTTCAAGGTAGATGGAAATGGAAGGTAAATGGAAAAAAATAAATGCATTTGTTAAAGGCGCAGGCCAAAATTGCACTTAATAATTCTAAAATGCACAGCACATGCATGTGTCTGAGTGTTGGGAAGGTTGACTCTTACTATGTCTTTCTTTCAGTTTTCAACTGCTTCTTGTCTCATTAAGATAGCTGCTGGGAGCCTGGACATCTCTTTCATCTAACCATTCTGGCACCAGTCCTCATCCATGACATTTGCCATTGGTGAGACCTGAATACCACAGTGACATTATTTATGGACAACAAAACACCAACAATTGAATTTCCTTACCCATCAGATTTAGATATCTAATAATTTTTAATGTTCTATTTTTATCTATTGTAGAAGTTACACAGTATATCTCTTACCCAGTGCTAAAATCTTTCTATTATAGACTTTACCTTGACATTCTGCCATGACATAAACTCACTTTGTGGTGGTGTTGTTATATATCCTTTTTTAGAAATCTCTTGGATATGTAACATACAAACGTGTATATATACATCCTCTTAGCATAACAGCCCATCAAAGTTTTCTCTTTCATCTACTATGATAGGCATCTTTTCCCACAAAAGTAATCTAATTTTGTTAGTATTTTTTGTTCCTATGTGGGCCTAAAGTTGACTCTGGTGATTCACATTACAGAATAATACCTCGATTTGGACAATATTAGATTATGTTTTTAAAAACTTGCTGAATTGAGTCCTGTTATGGCTTTTGTCTAGCTGCCCACCCAGAACCTCATGCGGTCATAGGTGGCTGGATCTACAGTGTGTGATCTCAGATTAAATGTGTGATGCTGGGATCAAGGGTGTGTGATTACTAAATTAGTCCACTGATTGGTCCGGCATAGTTCTGGGAGTGGATAATGGAAAGATCCTCCCTAGGTATAAGTGCTACCCACCTTAACAGTGTATAGCCTGGATAAAATATAAGGGACAGAGAGTTCTCATTTGGTGATTGATACTTCACTGCTTTGCTGCCTTTTGCCTGCCATGAATTATTTCTCCTCTGGGATGCCTGTCTGCCATGCCACCTTGCCTTGGAGTTAGCCAATCATGGACTGAAATCTCTATAAACTGTGAACTAAGTAAACGTTTCCTTCTTTAATTTTTGGTGTTGCGTATTTAGCCTCAACAACAAGAAAAGAGTGACTAAGACAAGTCCTATTCATGCTTCTCTACAAAATACTTTAAAACCATTTTTCATGGTTGAATATATTGACAACATGAAAGATATTCAAAGTTTATCTCTTGTAAAGACCTAACATATCATTCTATAAGCAAAGGATACCAGTCAGATCTACTTCAGACTCTATCTCAGTTTTTTTATCTCAAACCTGAGGGTATCAGAAGTTTTAATTAATTCTAAGGATAAAATGAAGTAGTCCTCACAAGTGCAATGTCCTGAGTTGGATCCCCAGTACCGAAAAACAAACAAACAAAAAAATTAAGTAAGTATGGGCATTTCTTTTTTGCTTTTTAGGGAATATGGAGTCTCCATTGCTGAACAAACAAGTCAAAGGACAATATATTGTTTATCCAAAAACAACACTGCCAGGGGACAGGGATTTAGCTCAGTGGTTCCACTGCCTACCTCGCAAGCATTAGGACCTGAGTTGATTCCTGGTACCAAAAAAAAAAAAAAAAAAAAAAAAAAAAAAAAAAAACCCTGCTGCCAATTCAGAGGAAGTTATCACCCTTCTCCCTTTCCTAAGCAGTATGGTGTGAAAAAATGAGGGGCAACTGCACATTTAATATAACTAGACTAGATGGCCAGTGCAGGAAACTAGAAATAAGCTAATTTCCTTTAGTATGGCTCTACAGAGTTCCTCAAATCAAAATGGATTTAATTAAGTATAGACTTAGCAGTCCCCCCAAATTGTTTTACAATGATGAGGTATTACTTATCATTTAAAATGTAAAGACATTACCTAGCAATGGAGAACATAAAAGATCTCTGCTTGGTTCCTTTACTTGATCTTCTGATTGAATCAACACTCCTTTCTCCAGAGAGGGAAAGTTTGTCATTTCATTTCCTTTCAGTTTCACATTAATCCCCGTCTGAGATGTATCCAATGTTTGAGAAGAGCTTATTTCTTGAGGAAGCCACTGCCAAGATTCTGTTTTCTAAAACAATAATTTTAAAGGAAAATTATTTCATCTAAAGAAGACTTTAAAGTCATTAAATGAAGTAACGTACATATCAACATTTACATTTAAATGTCCACTTTAATGACATTCTCAAAGTTTCAAAAGAATAAAGCTATTCTAAGTTCTCAAAATACGAACATTTCAGACCTCTTTCTTTTTTTTTTGGTTTTTTGAGATAGGATCTCACTATGTAGCCCAGGCTGGTCTTGAACTCACAGCAATTCTCCTGCCTCAGTCTCCTGAGTGCTGGGATTACAGGTATGTGCCAACACACCTGGCCAGACCTCTTTCTGTTGTACCTATTTCCTAAACTGCTGGCAAATCCCTGGCATTTCTGCTAGATTTTAAATCAGTTCTCATCACTAAATCAATAGATTTTATTCTACCTGATAAAAACTTTATAATTTGATTATAATAAAACTGAAAAACACTTTTCTAAACCTGTGGCCAAGTTACTGAAAATTTATTACCTACACCAGTTTCTAGAAGACATCTGGCTCTTCTCTGTATATAACACTATCATATCACCCATGAATAGTGATACATTTGTCTCTTTCAAATATTTATTCTTATATCAGTGTATATTTAAAATAATGCTTCTCAGACTATAGTAAAGGACCAGTTTTCCTATTTTCAATTCATAAACTAAAACTTTATTGAAATATTTATATAGGTTAATAAATAACTTTTAAAAGTAATAAAATGAAATTTAAAAGGTATTATAACTCCAAAATACAAACTATAGGCCTGTTTGCTTTCAGGTTCTAAAAAAATATTACTCTGTCACTCATAGAAAACTTCTAAATACTTCCTCTTAATTTCTGTACTTATGTCTTGACAGATCAGTAATAAGCAATTCATGAACTGATATGAGCCCCCAGACTATTGAGTATCAACAATGAATCATAGTTAAATGAAATGTTAAAAGTGACCAGTTTTAAAAGGTATTTTTCTTCCAAAAATATTAGTTAATAATTAAGCATATTTTTCTACTCTGCAATAAAAATATTCCTTGTCATTTTTTAAAATAATTTAACTTAAAACTAGTAGTAACTTAGATCAAACTACACTGCATTATTCTTTTCCTCCAATTACACCTAAGAATAGCAATAAACTTCCTTATATTAGAACACCTTTAAAAACCTTCATGTATTTAATATTTGGTAGTAGGAGGTCAGACTTTTTTTTTTTTTTTTTTTTTTTTTTGTGAACCCAGGCCTTCACACTAAGCAATATCCTAAATTTTTTTTTTTTTTTTGGTACCAGGAATCAAACTCTGGACCTTGTGATTGCAAGGCAGGAAGTGGCACCACTGAGCTAAATCCCTGGCCACCAGTTCTTTGCTATTTTTGAGACAAGGTCTAGGTGCATTGAAAAAAAATTTGTTTGCAGGTAACTTTCCAAATATGGGAAAAGAACTCAACATGCTGGCAAGGGAGATGGAATCCCAAATAGACACAGAGAACTCCATCACACATAGGTGTCAAAATCCGAAGGGACTGGGGATTTAGCTCAGTGGTGCCATCAACTGCCTTGCAAGCGCAAGGTCCCAAATTTGATCCCTGGTACCATTAAAAAAAAAATGTCGGCTGGGATTTAGCTCAGTAGTTCTGCTGCCTGCCTCGAAAGCACAAGGTCCCGAGTTCACTCCCCAGTACAACAACAACAACAACCCAAAAAGTCCAACACTACAACACAATAATGAAAGCTGTTAAAAGAAAAGCAACAAATCACTTATAAAGGTAAACCTAGTAGTATTATAGTATACTTCTGAACGCGAATGTTAAAGGCCAGAAGAGCTTAGCGTGAAGTGTTTTAAGCCCTAAAGAAAACAACTACCAACTAAGACTGATATATCTTGCAAAACTATCATTTAAAATTGATAGAGAAATAAGGATTTCCCAGGACAAAAAGCACATTAAAAATTCATGACCAACAAACCAGCACTCCAAAAATGTTCAAGAATTCCTAGAAAGAGACAATGAAGCCAATAATATCAACAAGTCTAATAGCACAAATACACCAGGCCAAGTGAGCAGGTAAGCAGAAGGAAAAGAAAAGATCAATAACAAGAAAATAATACAATGACAGGAATAAATCAACACTTTTCAGTATTAACTCTCACTGTGAATGGTCTCAACTCCCCAGTCAAAAGACACAGACTGGCCAAATGGATTAGAAAACAAAACCCAACAGCATGTTATATACAAGAAATACATTTAATCCAAAAAGAAATTCAGCCTAAAAATCAAATAGTGGAAAATCATTGTTCATGCAACAGGACCCCAAAAACAAGCAGGAATAGCTATCATATTTTCAGACAAAGTGAACTTCTAGTCACAACTGATCAGAAGAGGCAAAGAAGGTCACTATATATTGGTTAAGGAAAAAATTCAACAGGAAGATAAAACAATTATAAACATTTATGTACCAAACACTGGCACACCTAACTGCATAAAACAAACATTACTGGACATAGAAGATCAGATAAGTATCAACACAATTATAGTGTGGAACTCAATGCCTACCACAATTAGATCAACTAGACAAAAAAAATTAAAGAAATATCAGAGTTGAACTAACCTTCAAACAGACTTAATAGATTATTACAATATTTAACCCAACAACAGAATACACATTCTTCTCTGTAGCACATGGAACCTTCCCCAAAACAGACCTCACACTAGCCCATAAAGCATGCATAAGTAATGCAAAAGAATTCCATACATATTATCAGATCATAACACAATGAAACTAGAAATTAATGGCAAAAGAAACCCCAAAATTATGCAAACACATGGAAATTAAACAATACACTCCTGAATAATCAATGGGTCACAAAACAAATCAAGGAAGAAACTGGATAGTTGCTAGATTCAAACAATAATGCCATTAGAACATACCAGAACCCATGGAACATAAGAAAATCAGTTCTTAGAGGGACTTTTTTTTTTAGCTCTGAGTGCATATCAGAAAAGCAGAATGAGCCCAAATAAATAAACTAATGATGCACCTCAAGGTCCTCAAAATACAAGAACAATCAAAATCCAAATCTATACAAGGAAGGAAATTATGAAGATCAGAGTAGAATTAATGAAATCAAGACTTAAAAAATACAAAAAAAAAATCAATGAGGGTGCCTCAAAGCAAAGCAGTTGGAAATAAGAAAGGTGAAATCACAACAGAAATCCAGAAGATGATTAGTAACTACATTGAAAACATGTACTCCAATAAATTGGAGAATCCAGAAGAAATGGATAGATTCTTAGATATATATGAATTACCAAAACTGCACCAAGAAGATATAAAACCCCTGAATAATCCACTAACTGGCAATGAAACTGAAGTAATTAAAACCTATCAAATAAGAAATTCCCAAGACAACCCAGTGGTTTCACCACTGAATTTAGTAAGAACTTCAGATAAGATCTAACATCAACATTCCTCAAACTTCAATGAAATTGAAAGGAGGGGAGTACTGCCAAACTCACTCCTGAAAAATAGCATTACCTGGACTTCAGAACCAAATGATGCCCAACCAAAAACGAAAACTGAACGCCAATCTCTTCAATGAATATACATATAAAAATCCTTAACAAGATAGTAGAAACAGGATGCAACAAATCATCAAAAAAATCATATATCAAGTAGAATTCATTCCAGGGATGCAGGGAAGGTTTAACTTATGTAAATCAACAAATGTAGTACATCACATAAACAGAAGAACAAAAATCACACGATCATATCAGTAGATACAGAAAGGCCTTCAACAAAATTCAACATCCATTCATGATATAAAAAAAGAAATCTAGGGCTGGGGATTTAGCTCAGTGGTTCCACCACCTGCCTTGCAAGCACAAAGACCCGAGTTTAATCCCTGGTACCAAAGAAAAAAAGAAATCTGAAGAAAATAGGTATAAAAAAACCTTATCTAAATCTTATAAAAGCCAGCTATGACAAACCTACACCCAACATATTCAATGGGGAAAAATTGAAAGCTATCCCTCTAAAATCAAGAATAAGACAAGGATGTCCACTATCACCACTGCTGTTCAATATAGTACAGTACTCAATATATCAGCCACAGCAATCAGGTAGACAAATAAAAAGGATCATATAAGAAAGAAATCAAATTATCCTTATTGGCAGACAACATAATCCTTTACTTATTAGATCCAAAAAATTCCATCAAAAAACTTCTATAACTAGTGAAAAACTTCTAGATAGCAGGATACAAAATCAATACTCAAAAGTTAATAGAATTCTTGTACACCGATAAAGAGCCCACCCCCCAAAAATTAGGAAAACAATACCATTTGTAATAGCATCAAGAAAAATTAAGTACTTAGAAATTACTGTAACCAAAGAAGTGAAAGATCTCTATAACAAAAACTACAGTATGTCAAAAAAGAGATGAAAGAAGACATCAGAAAACAGAAAGATATTCACTGTTCCTGGATAGGCAGAACCAATATTGTAAAAATAGCCACACTTCAAAAAGTGGTAAGACAGATTTAACACAATTCCAATCAAAATACCAATAGTGTTCTTCACAAAATTAGAGAAAACAATCCTAAAATTCATATGGAACTAGAAGAGACTCAGAATAACAAATGCAATACTTAGGAACAAGAGCAAAGCAGGAGTCATTACAATCCCACATTTCAACTTATATTTCAGTAGCTTCAGTGATAAAAGCATCACAGTACTGGCACAAAAACATACATATGAATCAGTGGAACAGAACAGAGGACTTTAGATGTTAATCTGTTCCATTTATACTAACAGATTATCTTAGTTCTTTTAAAACAAAGTTAATGTTGTTATCTGTCTCTTTTTGTAAGAATATTTTTATGTATTATACTACTTTGAAGATAACAATACACAGTGTAATAACTACTGTTTTATTTTATTATTTGGTTATGAAAATGTTTTATTTTTTTGTAAAGTTAAAAATATTTTTAAGAATAAAGGAC